CCTAAAACTCCTCGAATCCATCTCTGGAGGAAGCAGGAGGCTGAGCACGGGGCGAGGACATCCCAAGCCATCCGGGGGGCTCCGTTTGCAGGGGTGCTCAGGGTGCTGGGGGAAATCTCTCTCGCCCAGTTGCTGCCCATCACCCCCAGTAGGCTGTCCTGCCAAAAAGCCTTGGGAAGGAGCCAGAAAGGGGAGCGAGATGGTGCCAGGTCTGCAGGGGATGGACGGATGGCATGAGGGGGCTGTCCCCTGCCACAGGCACTATTCCAGGGTGGCACTGGGCACGGGGAGAGCCGTGGTGCATGGCATAGGTGGTTGCCTCTTCCTTGGGACACCAACGTGGGCTTCCATGGAGCGAGCCAGGCTCATTGCTCAAACCCAACCAGAGGACATCGTCTGATGTCTCCACCGAGCTGTTTGCCGGCCGTCTTGCTGATTGTCCCCCATCCTTCTCCCCACCGGCACTGCCACCACCTCCTCGCCCTGCCCTGCGGGTGCCTGCTGTAATCCCGGTGCTCTGCCTCCCGCCCCAGTGCTAATCCTATAAACCCTTGGTAAATCCTGCCCACCCGGCCCTCCCTCTCCATGTCCCTTTCTCCAAGGCAGTCTTCCTGGTGTCCCCCAGCTTGGGGCTGGCATTTCTTTGGGGTGCACGAGGCTGTCACCCAGATAATGTAGGACCTCGGGGGGGATGCTTGCATGAGAGCATCGGGAAGGATGCCTGAGCCCTGGGGTTATTTTTGTAAAGCATGGGCAGCTATAAGACAGCTGATGCACCCCAAAATACCCCCCAAAATGTGCCCGGGTGCTGGTTTCATTCTCTTCATGAGCAGTTCCTATGCTCCGCGTGAGCTGCTCCAGCATGTACCCATCTCCAGAGCTACCTGGGGAGCGGGTGGTGGAAATCCCCAAGGGAATCCTGGGAGTGGGATCGGGATAAGAAATGAAATGGAGCAAAAGGATGCATGGCTGTAGGGTTGGGATCACTCCTTGCAGCAAGAGTAGGGTTCACCTGGGATGGGGATGGCCAGCACAGCCCATTTTAGTAATCTTTTCCGCTGGGCTGTTGGAAAATGTTGAGAGGGAAGATGCTGCGGCAAGGCCGATAGGTCTCAGGGAACAGTATTTTTTGCAGCCAAAAGAGCCGGCTCAGGTGGACCTGATGGGTTGCTCATGTCTAGGAATCACAGCCTGATTGCGCAGGGCAAAGAGCATCTTGTGCAGAGGCGGGATGGGAAGCCTCTGTGTCAGACAGAGGCAGTGGTGATCATCCAGGCCGTTTTCATCGGGGCTGTTTCGGTTTGATTCCCACGGGGTTTGCTATTTCAGCAAGTCTGTTTGCTAAGACCCCCTCGGTGTGAGGGAGTGGGGCTGGAGTGAAGCCCTGATGCTGCAAGGCGCTGCTGGTGTCCGTCCTGGCGTGGGGCCCTGCTTTTTGCACCGCCGGCGGGGATGGGAAGCAGCAGGGCAGCCCAGGGCTGGGACTGGCTGCAGAATCCCAGTAACACCAGTACCAGCAGAGGAGCTGTCGTCAGGCTCATTGATCCACCCCGCAAGAGCTTAGGTGGGCGGTGAATCACTGCATCATGAGCTAGTCCAGAAAAGATTAAGACGACCTAAGAATAAAGATAGACTGCGTATAAGGAAGAAATTCTTTACAATGAGGGGGGTGAAACACTGGAACAGGTTGCCCAGAGAGGGGGTGGAAGCCCCATCCCTGGGAACATTCCAGGCCAGGTTGGACGGGGCTGTGAGCAACCTGATGTGGTTAAAGGTGTCCCTGCTCCTGCTGGGGGGTTGGGCTGGGTGACCTCTAGGGGTCCCTTCCAACCCAAACCATTCCATGATTCTATGATAAAAACAAGCCCCGCAGTTCAACCGGCTGGGATAAAATGAGAAAGTGTGCCCGTCGCCAGGCTCCAGGAGGGGAAGGGATAATAAACCCGGGGCAGATTACAGCCGTGCATTTTGGTACGCAGGGCAGGCGTTACGCTCCCATTGCGCTTCCCGGGCTGGACGGGTTTCTTGTGCCTCCATTCCCAGTGCCACGGTGAGGTCCTGTGTGCGTTTCATTCCGCTAACGACCAGTTAAGCAACTCTAGTAAGTGCCCGTGTAAACGTAGGCAACGGGGCATGTTTCCAAGGGGAATAACCAAATGGATTTCTCCCTGTGAAGTCTTTATTCCTACAGAGCCACTCCCTTCCGCTACACGCCGGCTGAAAGGCGCTATGTATATAAATAAATGCATCATAATAGACCATCCGCTTTGATCGCTGCCGGCAGCACGGGCAGGATCGGAGCCTGCTCCTGGACAGCAATTCCCCTACCCCATCTCCCCATTCCATTCCCTTTCAGTTTAGGGGCTCATCTAAGGGACAGTTCCTTCAAGCATCGCTCCGTCCTCGGTGATGCCTTATTTCTCATATTTCTGCGCTGCAGCTGGAGGGCATGCCTGCAATCCAGCCCAGATGTCATTTTTTCCTCCCACAACCTGACATTACAGTCCTTGTCACGGAGATGGGACCGGGATCCAGAGCTGCACTTTGCTGCTCCCACTAACGAGGGGCTCTCAGAGGAGTTTGATGCCCGTAGCGGTCCGCAGGATGCCATGCCATGAAACCCCTCTCTGCTTTTGTCTCCTCTTCCCAGGGACATACCAGGGCCAGTGGGTCGGAGGGATGCGCCAGGGTTACGGCGTCCGGCAGAGCGTTCCCTACGGCATGGCTGCGGTTATCAGGTCACCCCTGAGGACATCCATCAACTCCCTGCGCAGCGAGCACACCAACGGCACGGCACTGCACCCCGACTCCTCGCCGGCGGTGGCCGGCAGCCCCGCCGTCTCCCGGGGTGGGTTCGTCCTCATGGCCCACAGCGATGCCGAGATCCTCAAGAGCAAGAAGAAGGGCATCTTCCGGCGGTCACTGCTGAGCGGGCTCAAGCTCCGTAAGTCTGAGTCCAAGAGCTCCTTGGCCAGCCAGCGGAGCAAGCAGAGCTCTTTCCGGAGTGAAGCCGGGATGAGCACGGTCAGCTCCACCGCCAGCGACATCAACTCCACCATCAGCCTGGGCGAGGGTGAAGCTGAGCTCTCCGTCATCGAAGATGACATCGACGCCACCACCACCGAGATCTACGTCGGCGAGTGGAAGAATGACAAACGGTCGGGCTTCGGGGTGAGCCAGCGCTCGGATGGGCTGAAGTATGAGGGAGAATGGGCCAACAACAAGCGCCACGGCTATGGCTGCATGACCTTCCCTGATGGCACCAAGGAGGAGGGCAAGTACAAGCAGAACGTCCTGGTCAGCGGCAAGAGGAAGAACCTCATCCCGCTGCGGGCCAGCAAGATCCGTGAGAAGGTGGATCGGGCTGTCGAGGCGGCCGAGCGGGCAGCCACCATCGCCAAGCAGAAAGCGGAGATCGCGGCGTCCAGGTAAGGTGGCCCCTGTCCCGACACGGCGTCTTGGCAGGGGTCCCGCCCCGACGGCTGCGGTTTGATCGGAGAAGTGGGATGAGACTTGCGCTAGTAGGTGCTTGGGGCGGGTATTTTAGGGAAGGTGCTGGGGGCAGGCAGGGGTGGTGGTGGGGGGCTGCTGGTGCAGGCAGCAGTCGGTGCTATCCGGACCCCAAAGCGGGAATGGGCAGCATCCTGGAAAACCAAGCCACTGGGCTTGCCCAAGCCTCACAGGTGGTGTTCAAAACGGGGTGAATCCAAGCCGAATTGTCCCCCTGCTAACTCTGAGCGAGCTGTGGGTGCACGACCCTCCCGAACCAGCCATCGAGGCCGTGCAGGGTCACTCAGCGCCGTGCGTTCGCTGCAGCCTGTGCAGGGGGGGGTTGCACCGTGGTGGGACTGCACTTGTGGGGCACGGTGTGGGGCTCACAGGCTGATAGCTGTCACTTAGGAGGGACCGGGTCATTTACCCTGTTTCTCGCCGGCCTCTTTAATAAGCAGGATGATACCCTCAGCAGAAGAGCTCCTGGGATGCTCTTTTGCTGTATCCTCTGTCTTACTTATAGCCAAGAGGAACCATCCCAGGGTTGGCCTATGCTATGGGAGGATTCCCAGATATTTCTGTTCCCAAAAGAGGTTTTGAGTGGAAAAACAGTCAAATCACAGTGGGAAAGCAGTCAAGTCGCTGGCTGCAGCTGATGGAGCCTCCCCTGGGGAGGGTTTGCCCTACATGAGGCTCTGCTAAGAAAGCAGCAGATCTGGGTGCCCAAATAATCCCGACGAGCCTCAAGAAGTCCCCCCTGTCCCTGCCTGGCTCTAGCCATCATGGAACTGCTCAGCGATTTGGAGCAGGGACCCGATCCAGCTGAAAACCAGCAGGAAGAGTGGGCGGAGGAAGGGGTCAGGTCTAATTTAGGTTGACATAGGGTCCAACTCCCAGCTCAAAGCAGGGGCAACTCAAGCGCCTTCTAGCTGGCTCCCAAAATGCGCCTGGAGCTTCGTGACTTGCAGCAAGGTCCCAGGCAAGAGGTGAGCCGAGGAGGCAAGGCTCCTCTTGCCGAATTCAGGGCTCTTCGCATCGCTTTTTCGTGCTGGTTTCATAGAGCATGGCCATTCCTTTCTGGTTTCTCAGGAAGTGCCACAAATAGCAGCCAGGCTGGGGAAAAAGGGCTGGGGTTAGGGGAAAAAGCCAGGTATCTCCTCCATCGCCTGTGCCGGATTAATTGTTGGGTCTGGATCATTTGTATGCGGAGTCACACTTGAAATCTTTATCAGAATGTCTGCCGATGACTTATCTGCAATGTGAATGAGACTCCCAGGCCTGCGTTGGGAGCATATTTGGGCTTGATGATGTTTTCGAGCTGATGTTGTACCGAATTGTTGTCAAAGCTTTGGGAAAAAAAGAAAAAAAAATCCCACTAGATTGCCAGGTAGGAAACAGACTGCAGAGCAGCAGAAAGACT